AGAGGCCTGGTCCCAGCAGCCCCTCTGACCCAGTGGGTCATGTTCTGCTGTCAGGAAAACAATGTGAGGTACACTAAAAGCCCAAGGAGCCCTGTGAAGAGACTGAGCAGCATCAGAACCAGAACCAGACCCATCAGGAATTATGGGCCCTCACACAGAGGAGTCAAGACTCTGTGCAAAGCTCTATGAATGGGAAAAACTCTTCACTGGACATTGCCCTTCACCATGGCCTGTCTCAGCTTCATCATAAAGATCCTGGAAATAGCTGTCCTTGGTCACCATGCTCAAAACTTGTACTCAGTTCTGTTTCAGGCTTCCCCATTCAAGGTACTACCCCATGGTGCCACTGAAACTTCTGCTCAGTATCACCTGAGATATCCACACTGCCCAGTCCAGTCCCCACACCAATTCTCATCCTACTAGACCCACCAATGTCACTTAGCACCCAGAACACCCACCTCCTCCAGGCACTTTCTTCCTGAGCCTCACTAAATCACTCTCTCCTGCTGCTTCCCTTCCCACTGCCCCTTCCCAGTCACTTTCCTGGTCCTCTCTCTCCACCTGTCCCAGAACTCAGGCCCTGGGCCTCTGTAGTGGTTATCAGAACTAAGTCCCCAGGGCAGACCTCACCCCTGAACCCCAGCCTCAAACACTCTGTGGGCTACTTGGCAACACACTGCCAGTCTAATGCACATGGCCAGCTCCAATGTCCAGAGCCACATGCCCCATCTTGCTCCCAATGTCACTGTCCCCACTATCTCTTCTGTCAGGACAAATAGCAACTTCATCCTTCTGGCTTCTCAAAGCAAGAGTCATCTTGAGACTCCTTCTCTTATATCCTTTGACCTAACCACAGGAGGTTGTTCACCTCCATCTCCAAAATACACCACTCATTGCTCCCTCCAGGTGCAAACCACAGGCCACAGAAAACACAAACAGGCAACAACCTGGGGAGAGTCCCACAGGAATGGCTGAGGTTTCTTCTTCTTTCTGACCCAGCACCTCCCCCTGTCTGCCCACAGCACATATCCAGCTGAGCCTGGTGTCCAGCGCTGGTCTGTTAAAGGGGCTCTATGCTTGGCCCAGGTTCAGCATGATCTTTCCCTATGCTCCTCCATTGATGTTCACATGCAACCAAGCTTTTAAATACTTTCTTAAGAAGTGTGAGGTATCAATGCCTACAAGATTATAAATGAACACATAATTAATGAGTTACCATTAAACAAAATGATTATTAAGTAATTGATTAATATAGAAAATTAAGAAATGGTGAAATAGAACTGAAATCTCCAAACAATATCCACTTCCAAGTGCCATCACTAATCCAGCAGCTCAGAAAGACACAAAGTACATGAGTGGCAAAAACAGAATCCTCAGCTGTTAGGTCTCAGGTTCCTGGGCCTCTCCCTAGCATCTCCTGAGCCTGCATCTAATAATGGTAACCCTGGAG